CCCAGGCGCCCCTCAGAATTGTCTTTTTACAAGGCGCCCGGGTGGCTCAGTCGTTAAGCGTCTGCCTTCGGCACAGGTCATGTTCCCAGGGTTCTGGGATCGAGCCCCACATGGGGCTCCCCACTCGGCGGGAAGCCTGCTTCTCCCTCTCCCCTGTTTGTGTTCCCTCTCTTGCTGTGTTTCTGTCAAATAAAATATTAAAAAAAAAAAAAAAAGAATTGTCTTTTTACATTTGATTTGAGTCAGGATTCTAACAAGTTTCACACCTTGCACTTGGTTGATGCATCATTTTGAGTCTTAATTTATGAAATCACCTTTTTTAGTTTATGCCATTTATTTGTTGAATAAGTCAGATTATTTAGCATGTAGAATTTCTCACATTTTGAATTTGATGATTGCACTATCTTTGTGGTGGTGTTTAACATGTTCCTCCTCTGTTTTTCGTGAACTGGTCGTTAGATTTAGAGGTTTTTTTTTTTTTTTAAAGATTTTTTTAAATTTATTTATTTGACAGAGAGAGACACAGCAAGAGAGGGAACTCAAGCGGGGGTAGGATGGGAGAGGGAGAGGCAGGCTTCCTGCAGAGCAGGGAGCCCGATGCGGGGCTCGATCCCAGGACCCTGGGATCATGACCTGAGCCGAAGGCAGACGCTTAACGACTGAGCCACCCAGGTGCCCCAGATTTAGAGGTTTGATTAGATTCAACTTCCATTCTTTTGGTAGGAATACATCACAGGTTGTGCAGTTATATTGTTGTCCACTTTTAGCGATGTTGAGATTGATCATTGAGTTCAGATCATCCTGACCCATCCATTATAAAGTTACATCTCAGCCTTTCATCTAATGGGTTTATAGCAACTATCGATGGTGATTGCCTAGACCCATTATTTCATTGGGAGTTGAAAATTGGTGATTTTTTTTTCCTAATTATTCCATATGCATTAAACATTTTTTTGTTTAAATTCCAGTTATTTAACATACAGTGTTAAATTAGTTTCAGGTGTACAGTATAGTAATTCAACAGTTCTGTACATGACTCCGTGCTCATCATAAGTGTACTCTTCATCCCCATCACCTGTTTCACCCATCCCCCTACCCACCTCCCCTCTGGTGACCATCAGTTTGTTCTCTCTAGTTAAGAAACATACAGATGGCTAACAGACACATGAAAAGATGATCAACATCACTCATCATCAGGGAAATACAAACCAAAGCTACAATGAGTCAGCGAAGTTAAGCTTAGAAGACAAAGCATAGCTCTCTGGGGTGCATCTCTGTTCTAAAAGTTGTAGTTATGAGTGTTGAAGAAATTGAGGAACTTATTTAGGGATAGCAAGTGTTAGGACTGATATGAGTTCCAATAAAAGTTAGGATGAAGAACACATTGGGATCTTAAAAGGGGCATTGTGTCCGGTGGTAGAACTGAGAAGAGTAAGACTTTTCCATCAATTCAAAAGAAATATTTTAAAAATCAGTTTATGTAGGGGATGGGGCTGCCTCAGTGGCTCAGTTGGTTGAGTGTCTGGCTCTTGGTCTTGGCTCAGGTCTTGATCTCATGGTTGTGAGTTCAGGCCCTGAGTTGGGTTCCATGCTGGGTGAGGAACCTACTTAAAAAAAAAAAAGAAAAAAAAAAATCAGCTTATGTGGGGTGGTTAAAAAGTTTGGAAAACAGATAGTGGTGATGGTTGTACAACATCGTGAATGTAATGCCTCTGATTTGTACATTTAAAAATGGTTAAAATTGCAAGTTTTGTTTGATTTTACCACATTTTAAAAAATTAATAATGTAATATACCCAAAACTCTAATAATGTATACTTTTAATCAATGAATTGTTTGATGTGTAAATTATATTTTAATAAAGCTGTTAAAAAAAACTATATAGAGCTAAGCCAGAAATTTCTGAAGTCAAGTTAAAGGGAACTGGTCTAGTCCTTGAAAACTGGCTTAAGCATCCTGTTTGACTGCTTTGTCTCTAGTACTCAGTAAATATTTTTAAGTTAAACAATAAACAAATGAAAAACAAATTTAAAAAACTACAATGAGATATCACACCTGTCAGAATGGCTAAATTTAACAGTACAGGAAACAGCAGATGTTGGCGAGGATGTGGAGAAAGGGGAACCCTCTTACACTGTTGGTGGGAATGCAAACTGGTGCAGCCACTCAGGAAAACAGTGTGGAGGTTCTTCAAGAAGTTAAAAATAGAATTACCCTACAACCCAGCAATTGTACTGCTAGGTATTTACCCCAAAGGATGCAAAAATACTGATTCGGAGGGACACCTGCACTCCAGTGTTTATAGCAGCATTATCAACAATAGCCAGATTATGGAAAGAGCCCCAGTGTCCACCACCTGATGATACACAGAATGGAATATTACTCAACTGTAAAAAAGGAAGCTTGCCATTTGCTACAGTGTGGATGAAGCTAGAATGTATTATGCTAAGCGAAATAAGCCAGTCAGAGACAAATATATGATTTCACTCATATGTGGAATTTAAGAAACAAAACACATGAACATAGGGGAAAGAAAAAAAAAATACAGGCAACCCATAAAATAGACTCTGACCTATAGAGAAGGAGGGAGGTGGGCAGGGTATGGGCTAAATGGGTGATGGGCATTAAGGACGGCACTTGTGATGAGCATCGGGTGTTATATGTAAGTGATGAATCACTAACTTCTCCTGAAACTAATATTACACTATATGTTAACTAGACTTTAAATAAAAACTTGAAACAAGAGAGTCTGTTTGTTGGTTTGTCTGTCTTTTTCCCCCCTATGCTCATTTGTTTTGTTTCTTAAATTCCACATTTATTAGCTAGAATGTTTCTATAATGAAAAAATTTTCTTTAACTTTTTACCTGAGGTATATATAATTATAATCTCTTAAAGTCACTAAAACCTAGAATAAAATTTTTAACAAGTACTTACTGAGCTATTTTACTTTTGAAATTTAAATTCAATTAACATATAATGTACTATTTGTTTCAGGGGTAGTACTTATTGAGTCCTTACTCAGTGTATCACTGCACACTTTATACACTATTGCTGTTGATAATGGTAGTAAAAGCCCTCTACCTCCAGGTCTGTACAACCTTTTGTAAGTGAGAGTAGGTAAAAAAAAAAAAAAAAGACTACATTAGGTCATGTAACCAAGCATTATTTTTGTACAAACCCTTGCCACTTTTTTTTTTAATGTTGAAAGAGGCACCTATTAAAATATATGGGTATATTTTATATACCTATAAAAAGGTATAATTATATATACCTTTTTACCTTGTTACCCTGAAATATAGTTGATACAAGAAAGGCAGGATAATTGCTTGATTCTTTCCATTTATTGTTTTTCAAATACGTTGTTTCCTTAATAACTCTGCAAAGGTGACTAGTTTTTTTTTTTTAATATTTTGGATATTTCACATATTTACATTTCAGTTCAATGCATTATTTATTTTTAATGTTCGTATTATCCCATTTTTAGCTGGTGGGGACCCTATCAGGTTGGCCCTTCCGTCCTTTGACGTGATCCAGTTATTTTGATAGCTTGTTGACTATTCCTAAACTGGTATTTAAGGTTATAGGACTTTAAATTAATTTCTTTAACTTTTATATTAGTATCTATTTCCTGAATACTTAAAGTGTTAGTTCTTTTTTTTTTTAATTTTTATTTATTTATTTGACAGAGAGCACAAGTAGGCAGAGCAGTAGATAGAGGCAGAGGGAGAAGCAGGCTCCCCACTGAGCAGGGAGCCCGATGTGGGGCTGGATCCCAGGACCTTGAGATCGTGACCTGAGCTGAAGGCAGACGCTTAACCAACTGAGCCACCCAGGCGCCCCTAAAGTGTTAGTTCTTAATGACATTTACATAATTTTTTATTTTCTCTCTCCTACAAGGCGATTATAACTATATATAACTTTTTTTTTTCTCAGTACTCATTAAGTATATTCTTTTTTAAGTTCTTATTCAAGTTCCAGTTAGTTAACATACAGTATAATATTAGTTTCAGGGAGACAGTTTTTGATTCAGCACTTCCATACATCACCCCGTGCTCATCAAAGCAAGTGCCCTCCTTAATCCCCACCCCCTATTTCACCCATCCCCCTGCCCACCTCCCCTCTGGTAACAATCAGTTTGTTTTCTGTGGTTAAGAGTCTGTTTCTTGGTTTGCCTCTCCCTCTCTCTCTTTATTTTTCTTTTGTTCATTTGTTTTGTTTCTTAAATTCCCCATTTGAGTGAAATCCTATGGTATTTATCTTTTTCTGACTGACAGATTATAATTATATATACCTCTTAATACAACAAAGAACCAAAGCTAAGGAAGTACACAGACTCTACTGTCTGAGGGAACCTAGTCTCTTATTTTTTCTGCAGATCTGGTTCACCAAATTCTTGTGGGGTGCCTCTTTCAACATTAAAAAAAAAAAAGTGGCAAGGGTTTGTACAAAAATAATGCTTGGTTACATGACCTAATGTAGTCTTTTTTTTTTTTTTTTACCTACTGTCACTTATAAAAGGTTGTACAGACCTGGAGGTAGAGGGCTTTTACTACCATTATCAACAGCAGTAGTGTATAAAGTGTGCAGTGATACACTGAGTAAGGACTCAATAAGTACTACCCCTGAAACAAATAGTACATTATATGTTAATTGAATTTAAATTTCAAAAGTAAAATAGCTCAGTAAGTACTTGCTAAAAATTTTATTCTAGGTTTTAGTGACTTTAAGAGTAGAGTCCTATAGGCTAGAATCCTAAAAGAATAGTGTTTCCAGAGGTCTTTGTACTGTTAAACCTTCCTCTTGTTTACCTCTTAGATTTATTTTTGCTCCTGTTCTGGAGGCAGCCACATTCTCTAAGCCTGGCTAATTTGAGTTCTCCCACTCTCAGATTAAAATTTGAATATGAAAATGGATTCTAAAAGGCAAATGAAGTTATTTGGTGCTGATACTTCTTTAATACCAATGAGAAACTAACTTGATTTCCTTTTTTTCTTTTCCAGATGATGGGCATAAGAAAGCTCGAAATGCTTATCTCAACAATTCCAATTATGAAGAAGGAGATGAATATTTTGATAAAAACTTGGCACTCTTTGAGGTAATATTTGGGAGAAATCTAGGGCAGAAATTTCAGGAACAGAGATTTCAGGATAGCGGTTTTCTATCCCATTTAGTTTTAAAACAGTACAGGCTGGATAATTTTAAGAACTGCTTGTTAAAATATAATACTATAACTTGTCATTGTAGTTGATTTACTCTATATAATCTAATTATCACTAACTAATAAGTAGCCTTTAAATCAGATTTCTGTGAATTGAGGAGGAATGTTGACATCACAGGCATGGAGAACCTTGCTGTCTAATTCAGCTAGGATTTAAATATTTGCATTGGAATTATCTATGAAGTATAAAATAGAGTATTTTTCAACTCTGTGTTTGGGAAGACCATCATTTACCTTAGAACTACTAAAAGAAAAATCAGTGTAGGAAATAGGCTGCCAGATTAAGAGGGCCTGTCTGTATGTCTTACCCAAGACCATATGGACTCTGACGGGCTCTGCAGTCGGATAGTTGAAAGGAGCCTGCTTTGGTCCAGCACTGCCTTTGTGTCTGGCTTTGGACAATGATGCAAGTTCCAGTTCTCTTAGTGTACCTGTTTTTTAAATGGTATCTTCTTTCAGTTTCCTTCAAGAAAAGATCTGAGATAGATATTTAGTTCAGTCACAAAAGTTTTTTATTGAGCTGTCTGTGCTTGGTGCCATAAATAATAGCCATAAGTGTTATTAGAATGTTAGTAGCCTAGCCTAGGGATGCCAGGGTGACTCAGTCAGTTAAGCATCCGACTCTTGACCTCAGCTCAGGTCTTGATCTCAGGGTTGTGATTTCAAGCCCCACATTGGGCTCCATGCTGGGCGTGGAGCCACTTAAAAAAAAAAAAAAAAAATGTTAGTAGCCTAAAGAAAAGGGCACTATAGTTAAAGGTAATATTATCAATGCTTTTTTCAAGGTTACAGCTGTCTGTAGGTGCCAGTGTGATTTTATTTTTACTGTAAAGTTAAGCCATTAGAAAGAATGATAAAGCTTTTCACTTAAGAATTTTATAAGGATTTGTATAGTCCTGATTGATATTTTAATGTGGGAGGAGAATAAAACCTCATTTATAAATTTTCTTAAAATATTTACCTGTGATGTATTTTCTCATTTAATTTGCAATTTTCTGGTAGAGGGCCACATTGATGCTTATTTCCAGTGTTCTTTATTACTCATTTCTTCCATGTCTCTGGCTTTATAGGAAGAAATGGACACCAGACCAAAGGTATCTTCTCTCCTCAACCGTATGGCCAATTATACTAATCTGACACAAGGAGCAAAGGAACATGAAGAGGCAGAGAACATCACTGAGGGGAAAAAGAAGCCCACTAAGGTGAGGCCTTCAAATAACAAGGATAAATAAAAAGAGTCCCATATATAAGAAAGGAGGAAATATCCAGGGCATCACTTTATGTTCAGTAACTATTGAATGCTTGATATATGCCAGGCACTGTTCTGGGCAGGTCATAGCAAAAACAGAACATACAATGTCCTGCTCTCATGCAATCTAAATTCTAGTATGAGGAGATAGTTGTTAAACTGTATATTACGTATTGACGATGGCCTAACAAAAATATAAGCAGGGACAGATGGTAGCTACACTTGTGATGAGCATAGCATAACATATGCAAAGACTTGTCAGATCACTTTGTTGAACACTAATGTAACATTGTGTGTTAACTTCAATAATTAATTCATTTTTTTTAAAAAGGCAGGATAAAGACACTGAAACTGGCCAGCAGGAGAGCCAGGGCAGAGGGGGTTGCTGTTGTAGAGAGGTTGGTCAGGGAAGGCCCTTTCTGACAGGGTGATGTTTGAGCAGAGGCCTAACCAATGTGAGACAATGAGCCCCCTAGTTGGGAGAAGAGCATTCCAGGGACAGGGAATAGCACTTCAGAAGAAGAGGGTTCACACCCATCTGCTGATGCCATCTCTCTGTTGTCAAGTGATGGGGTTTTTCAAAGACTAAATTTCAGTTTTTCTCAAAATGAAAATATGGAACCATATTACAAGTTAGCTTTCTGGTTGTTCAGGGATAAAATGATCCTCAGATCTTCATTTTACCAACTGCATTTACCAGCTACCATGAGGATTTATGCCAAACTCTGAAGGAAGTCCATCAAATCATTATTCAGTTTTTAAATGAAAAGGGAAAGCTAGGGGCACCTAGCTGACTCAGTCAGTGGAGCATGCAACTCTTGATCTCAGGCTTGTGAGTTCGAGCCCCACGTTGGTTGTAGAGATTACTTAAAAATCTTAAAAAAAAGGGGCACCTGGGTGGCTCAGATGGTTAAGCGTCTGCCTTCAGCTCAGGTCATGAGCCCAGGGTCCTGGGATCGAGCCCCACATCGGGCTCCCTGCTCAGCGGGGAGCCTGCTTCTCCCTCTCCCACTCCCCCTGCTCATGTTCCCTCTCTCTCTCTCTATCCCTGTGTCTCGAATGAATAAATAAAAAAATCTTAAAAAAAAAAAAAGGAAAAGCTAATAGCTGCAAAGAACAGAACATTTTAATTGTTGGGGGTACACTTAAAAGTTTGTGGTCAAATGCCCATGTAAAAACATATGGGGACCTGTGTAAAGTAAAAATGTATAGCTCTAGGAATAATGTGATCATTTATAAGATGGAGATTTTATATGTGCCTCTTTTAAGATATTGATTATACTAATTATGTGTTTTGTAAGTTAAGATGGTAGTTAGGGAGCAAGTTTTTATATACAAATAAAGGGATAAAAGCATCTCATCTAGATGACTATGTAATTTTTCTTTTGTCAACATCTTTCTTTGCAGACCCCTCAAATGGGTACTTTCATGGGTGTCTACCTCCCATGCCTACAAAATATTTTTGGAGTGATCTTGTTTCTACGCCTTACGTGGGTCGTGGGCACAGCTGGAGTTCTTCAGGCCTTTGCAATTGTCCTTATCTGCTGCTGCTGTGTAAGTCCCCAGTTGGCTCTTAGAGATCACCTGGAACATTGCAGGAGCTCAAGATTATATGCACTTGACTTAATTGAGAATAACACAAAGACTATTCGGGAAAGACTCATGATCTCAACAGGAGACATTATTTTGATATTAAACTCTGAAAGATTTTCAGTTATTTAGTGTCCAGTCTTTGCTGCTTATATGCGTAATATGATGTACTAGAAATTACAAAGGAAGACTTTTAGAGGAGGTGGAAGATGTAGTCCTTGATTCAAAGAATTCAGAATACAAACCATTGGAGTTTGATAGTACCAAAGTTAGAAAATGATGATGTACTACTCCAGTATAGTATTGAGGAACAAAACTGATTGTTGTTTGGGGCGAGGGGTATTTGTTTTGTTTTGAAGTCTCATCTGTTACCCCTTCCCCAGAAATTCAGGTGTGCTTTCCAGGTCTTCTCCCCACTGTACTGAGAACATTCTGATCTTGTTTGAATTTAAACTCCTCTTATCCACATGTCCCAGCCACATCTATCAATTTTATTATAAGTTGATTATTATTAAAATTTTTTATTTTTTTATTCAACTTCTGGCCTCTTTAATTACTATCATTATTATACCCTCCTGGTACATTATGCTCAGCTGAGTGCTATATAAAGCAGGATAAGAAGACATAGTTTGTATCATTAATAACTTAAAATTAATAGTACTACCTTTTTCTTTTTTTTCTGTTTCTTAGTCTTAAAACTTCAGGGCCATGTTTGGCTCCTTGATTGCCTCTCACATCTAATCAGCTACCAAGGTCAATCATGTCTCCCTCTGAAATCTCTTACATACAACCCTTCCTTTATATTTCTGTTACTAGCACTACAGTCCTTACTTTTCACTGAACTATAATAGCCTACTAACAAGTCACTCTGCCTTCATCTGCTCCCTATCTGCAGTCCATTCTATGCTGCTACCAGGTAATGTTTTCAAAATACGGTTTTTATTATTTCAGAAGTCTGCAGTGGTTCCCCTCCTTACTGAATATTGTTCTTGTAATTGTAGCTAGTCCTTAGTTTCTAATCTGTTTTCCAAGTGAACTAGGAGACCAGGGTGAGATCAGTGGCTCCTACTAGCAACTAACCTACTGCTTATGATATAGAAGCATTTTAACAGAATACTCAAGATAACAGTAATGTGACTAGGGCAATGAGTTGAACCACATCATCTCATTTCCATAATATTAGGAATGGCCGCCAACTCCCTCCATAAAGGTAGGAAGAGTTAATTTTTCAGAAAGTGCTCTGAGGTCCACAGACAGGAAAATAGTACAGAACTACAGTAACAATCTTCTCCTTCACTTCCTTTACAGACAATGTTGACTGCTATCTCCATGAGTGCCATTGCCACAAATGGAGTGGTGCCAGGTCAGTAGGCTGGATTTCAGGGATTGTCAACAACTACTGTATGTTTATGCTATCAAGTCAGAAGTGCAAACTTCCGAGGACTAGAATACTATTTAGTCTCTTGGTCATAGACATTCACACTGTTTGACTTTAGAATACATTCTTTAAAAATCTCTTTATGTTGTAAACTAGGGGAACCCTCACTCACTGTTGGTGGGAATATAAACTGGTATAACCACTTTGGAAAACAGCATGGAGATTCCTCAAAAAATTAAAGATAGAAATCCATACAGTCCAGTAATTTCACTACTGGGTATGTATCTGAAGAACACAAAAACAGTAATTCAAAAAAATACATGCACCCCTCTGGTTTTTACTGTATTATTTACAATAACCCAGATATGGAAGCAACCTAAGTGCCCATCAGTAGATGAATGAATACAGAAGATGTGGAGACACACAGACACACACACACACTCACCAGAATATTATTCAACCATAAAAAAGAACAAAATCTTGTCATTTGTGACAACACAGGTGGACCTAGAGATCCACTTTATGCAAGTGAAATAAGTCAGACAGAGAAAGACAAATACCATATGATTTTACTTATATGTGGAATCCAAAGAAATAAACAGACAAAAAAACAGACTCATAAATAACAAACTGGTGGTTGTCAGAGAGGAGAGGAATGGGGGGAATGGGCAAAATAGGTGAGAGGGAATAAGAAATACAAACTTCCAGTTACAAAATAAGTCACAGGGATGAAAAGTACAGAATAGGGAATACATTCAGTAATATTGTAATAACATTGTATGGTGACAGATGGAACTACACTTTTGTGGTGTGCAGAATGTACAGAATCGTCAAATCACTATGTTGTACACTTGAAACTAATATACCATTTATGTCAACTATACTTCAGTTAAAAGAAAAAGGAAAAAATCTCATTGTGTTCTAAGCTAGAATCCTTAATTTGTATCACCTTCCTAGCTTCTTTTTAGTTAGAATATATTTTATTGGGCTGTCTCATGCCTGTAGTAAATATTCTTTGATGCTTCTCTAACTAATACTGACAAATTGTGCTACTTCATGAGGAGCATTAGATGTTCAGCATATTCTACCATAAAGGTTTTATCTTTTACTTCCCATTAGCAAATCTACTTTTTATCACATTCAGAGTTTTGAAAAAGTTGAAACATTTATCCTTCTTATTTATGACTTGTTTACATTCTTCTTACTGATGTACTTTCTTTATCCTGCTTACATTCTGTTTTGTCTTTTAGCTGGGGGCTCATACTTTATGATTTCCAGAGCACTGGGCCCAGAGTTTGGTGGGGCTGTTGGCCTCTGCTTTTATCTTGGTACCACATTTGCAGCTGCCATGTATATCCTTGGTGCCATTGAAATTTTTCTGGTGAGTAATAGCTTAATTGTGGTCTGCAGTGTAGAAACGATAGAGATTTGGATTTATTTTGTTGTTTGAAAGAAAGCAAAACTTTTGAGAGATCCATTATAGAATCAATCAAGTGATTGACTGTTAACCTGTTATTGACTTCCTCTTGTGAACATAAGTCAGAAAGGTTGAGAGTATCCTTTGCCTGCATACTGCTTCCCTACCACCCATTCACCAACACCCTACCACTTCATCCAAGAAGTTAAAGTCTTGATCAAGGCAAGACTTGCATCGGAAAAAATAAAAGTTTTTATCTTTTTTGATATCTTCATCCCAGTGAAATAAAATGTTTTTCATTTCTTTATTCATTGGAATATTTTTTTTACTATTTAAAATAATCATAAGTAAGTAGGAATAATGAGATAGGAATCAAGATAATCATTACAATTATTTTATATAACCCTTTGAATAAATTACTAATGCTTTTTTTTGCTGTTTCTATTTGGAAATGTAGGTATTCAGAATAGCATGTAGCCTTAAAAAAAAAAAACATAAATGATACCCAATTTCTGAGGGAATTAGGTTAAGTCTCCAGTCATTTTCTATCTTAGCTTTGCTTTGCTGTGTGAAAGCAAATGCAAAGTACAACAACCCTTTTACTTGAAGACTTTGAAATGACCTCATTTTCTACTTCTTTTGCTTAACAGGTATATATTGTCCCCCGAGCTGCGATCTTTCGTAGCGATGATGCACTCAAGGAATCAGCAGCCATGCTCAATAACATGCGTGTCTATGGCACAGCCTTCTTGGTCCTCATGGTATTGGTGGTGTTCATCGGTGTACGCTACGTGAACAAATTTGCCTCACTTTTCCTGGCCTGTGTCATTGTGTCCATCTTGGCCATCTATGCTGGAGCCATCAAGTCTTCTTTTGCCCCTCCACACTTCCCGTACGTGTCTGTCTCTCTGACCGGCCATCAGTTACTGGGTAGTCCGTGACAGTGTCTGGTGATGTGATCACTTCAAGTACAGTTTCAATCTCCCGGAGATTTCTCTCGTGGATGAGCTCATTTAGCATCTAGGCAGGAAGCCTCCCAGCAGACTTCTCATGTTGATCCTCTTCCTTATGTCCCAAGCATGGAACTGGCAGCTCTAAACATCATTTGGATATAGATACTAGGTTTTTCTCAAAACCTCCTTATAATGATTGTGTATATTTGAACAACTATTCATGAAGAGCTTTACGATAGTATAGTTATTACCAGCAAGCTTTGTAAAGTACAAATGTTGGATTCCTCTTATTAATAAAATATCAAGAGAATCAAAGAAACCTAAATTCCTACCTAAATATTTGTAATTAATTAAACTTTTTAACCTGCTGTTAATACCATAGCAGACTTTCTGGTTATAAAATAAAGAGAAAGAAATGTCACATTTTTACATATATATATATTTCTATATAGAGATTGTATGATATACCATAAGTAATGCAGGTACATTAAAGTGTATTTTTTTAAGTAGTAATGGATTTGTACAGATAGGTGACTCTCCGGTCACCTGTTCTCTGTTTGACTAGTGGCATAATGATTAGCTAGCACTGAGAGGTGTTTGTAATCTTGTTACAGAGATTGTCTTTAAAAAGTCATCTGGAGGGCACCTGGGTGGCTCAGTTGGTTAAGCGACTGCCTTCAGCTCAGGTCATGATCCTGGAGTCCCAGGATCGAGTCCCACATCGGGCTCCTTGCTCGGCGGGGAGTCTGCTTCTCCCTCTGACCCTCCCCCCTCTCATGTGCTCTCTCTCTCTCATTCTCTCTCTCAAATAAATAAAATCTTTTAAAAAATAAAAATAAAAAATAAAAAGTCATCTGGATTATCTAGGTATCAAACTCCTCACTCCTATGTCGATTTAACCTGATTACAGAAAAATAGTTTTTTTGAGATGAAAAAACCAGATCTATAGAGATTAAATGACTCGCCCCAAAGTTAGTTAATGGCAGAACAAGAATATGAACGCTTTGATTTCCTAACTCCTGGTCCAGTATTTCTTCTTTGCTAAATGATGTCAGTGATAGATTCCATCATCAACTTTTAGTCTGCTTATTTAGGGACTGCAGACTAGCCGAAAGTACTGAAGGCTATATTCTGGATATCTTAACTTGAGAAATTCCATTTTGCCTGAAGTTCTCCTTTGATGCTTCTCTTTTTTGGTGGGTAAAAGGTCATGATATGTGGTATTTTCTTTAAAATATTCCAGCAGAACAAGACCAAATTCGCTAGAGCAATGCATGAAACAAGACTGGGCAGTATTGAGTTGTTGAAGCTGAGTAATGGGTACATGGTTCATTATGTATGTATGCTGTCATTTTTGCAGATTTAAAAAGTTCTTTGTTCCTCTTGAGAGGTACTTTAACTGTGGGAGTATTATTCTTTTGTTCATATTTATAGCTCTGGGTTAAAGAAAAAAATAAAATCAGCAGTTATTATTTGTAATATCCTTAAATACCTTCACTCCCACTGGGTCTAGGCTTACATTCAAAAATAGTTTTCTCTTAGGCCATAGTGGGATGTGCTTTTTATTCCAGCCAAGCTGTCTTTCTTGAAACAGTAGCCAGAAGATTTGACCTTGAGTATAACATTTTCAAAGGGGTTGTTATGAACATAGGCTTTTCTAGGCCAAAAAATTAGGAGAATTTTTTTTTTTTTTTTTTTTAGAAAGAACAAAAGGACTGTAGGATGCTTTTAGACCTAACAATTGGTTAATAATCTAGAAAATTTGGAAGATGAGTAAGCACAGTGTCTTCAGACAGTTACTCTGTTTGAATTCTATCACCCTGCTACCAGTATGACTCGGGTAGACTACTTTATTGCCCTAAACTTCAGTTCCTCCATCCACAACATAGAAATACTAATGCATATTTTGTGAGATGGCTGTCAGGATTAAATTGCAGAAAATGTAAATAAATCTCCATCTACAGAACAAGTCAGTTAAGTATTAGGTCCTTTCACGTCCTCTTAGAGATGAGGGTTTTTTGTTTTGTTTTGTCCATTACTAACCTATTTCTAACCTACCTACCTTTTTTAAAATTTTATTTATTTATTTATTTATTTATTTTTTACCCTTCATCTTTCTCTCTGTTTTCACTTAGGGTCTGCATGCTGGGTAACCGCACCCTTTCGTCAAGACACATTGATATTTGCTCTAAGACCAAAGAAATTAACAACATGACAGTACCGTCAAAGTTATGGGGCTTCTTCTGTAACTCAAGTCAGTTTTTCAATGCCACCTGTGATGAATACTTTATTCATAATAATGTCACTTCAATTCAGGGCATTCCTGGCTTGGCTAGTGGTGTCATTACAGGTAAGTCAGGAGGTTTTTGAACAAGTTTTTTAATCTGCTCAGGAAAGCAGGCTTTTCAATCGTAGTGTCTTCTATTGTCCACGATGTCTCACTGCCACAGTATCCCTACCCTCCTTAAGCTCAGCACCCCCCTCTACATTCAACGTCTTTCTGCTTTTCTGTTAGTGAACTTATCCTTTTTCAAACTCTCTTGTGACGCTTTCTGCTAAAATATTCCTCCTTTGGGGGCGCCTGGGTAGCTCAGTCGTTAAGCGCCTGCCTTTGGTCCTGGGATCGAGCCCCACATCCGGCTCCTTGCTCAGCGGGGAGCCTGATTCTCCCTCTCCCTTTGCCTGCCGCTCCCCCTGCTCGTGCTCGCTCGCTCTCTCTCCCTCTCTCTGATGGATAAATAAAATATTTTTAAAAAATAAAATTTCCCTCCTTTTGAGAGCAGAGCTAGGCAGATCACTTTTTGAAGTCGGATGTAGTAATACAGTACCCTGTGTGTTACACTGTGAGACTGTGGTGTTCTTCCCACAGTGACAGCCAGATGGAGCTTGCAGTGTCACCACATCCACACATGCTGTTTTCCTCGCTCAGCCCAGTTTCTGAAACTCTTGCCTTAAGTGACTTCTATCTTAAATGTTTGGTCCACAAATGTCTTTGTGCGTAAGCAAGTTTACACTAAGGTGTTAGAAATAGCACTGATTACTAATTTAAAAGAAAAATAAGCTTTTCTGAGCATTCATCTTTAGTCCACTTAACTTCTACTAATTTGCATTTGTAAATTTAACTGCATTTGTATGTACCAAAGCATTCTGTCAAATTACATTTGAATCAGATGAGAAAGAGCATTAGGTTTTTATTTATGTGTTCTTTATTGTATGATATATATGTGTTCATGTAGAAGCAAACATACCTTTAAAAACTATATAAATGAGGAATCTGATTTAGAATATTGTTTAGGTAGAAAATTACCTAGTTATCTTCTTTCCATACTTCTGTTGCTTATATACCTTTTTCTTCCCACTGCAGAGAATCTTTGGAGTAATTACCTACCAAAGGGAGAGATCATTGAAAAGCCCTCAGCCAAATCTTCTGATGTCTTAGGCAGTTTAAACCATGAATATGTCCTTGTTGACATCACCACCTCTTTTACTCTTCTGGTGGGGATCTTCTTCCCCTCTGTCACAGGTAAGCAGAAGGGCTGTTGTCTGTTTTAGAAGTTAGGAGACCAAAGGAGTGATTTTTCTTAAGAGACAGAATTATATTCTCAGGCTTTTCAGATTTGCTTCCAATCTTTGGTATCCGCATGAATATCAAAGTATCCAGGAACTAAGAAGTTAACTTGTTCTTTTTTCCCTCTAAAGGTATCATGGCTGGATCAAACAGATCTGGAGACCTGAAGGATGCTCAGAAGTCTATTCCCATTGGCACTATCCTTGCCATCCTGACCACCTCCTTTGTCTGTATCCTTTTCATGGATCCAGCCTGAGTTTTAGTCATAGGCACATCTGTGGAATGAGGCTGATCAATATTTTTATCCTGCTAATAAAGATACCTGCTTTCTACCAGCTCACTTCTCACCAGATAATCTATCCACCTCAGCTCTAAAATTCAAGAAAGAATTGACAACATTAGTGAATCTAGCACCTCATTTTACTGATAGAAGAAATATCCTGAGTGTTTACTTTCTATCTCAGAGAGTTGTAGGTCAGCTTCCTTGACTCTCAGTATGGTAGATTTAAGCAATGTTGTCCTTTTTGGTGCCTGTATTGAAGGTGTTGTTCTTAGAGACAAGTAAGTAGTCCATCTCTTTGTAACATTTATGTGTCTGTCTTCCATTATATCTCATCATTCTACATTGCCCCACAAAAGTCATAAACTCAAAACCCAACCTGAGGTATAGATCATGACTAACAATTAGAAAATATATGTATATAGTTCCCAAAAAGGTTAGTGAATAATAAGTACCAGTTATACTGTTACAAATATGTGAGATGCAATGAATATAGCGCTTCAATAAAGTAGTGAATTTGTTTGCATAAGGGCTTCCCTACACATGAAGAGCTGTTGGAAACTAAAACCAAAAGTGAAGGAGAGCAAGTTAGAAAAAACAAACAAAACAAAAACTTTCAAGTGTCTCTAGCATCTCTATGAGACATGGAAGTATGTATCTGTTTAGCATTCTAAATACAATTTTAAAACTTTCTTCTTCATTCATGAAGACCGCTGGGTGTTTTTCCTGTCCTCTCACCTATGAACAAAAAATAAGTTTTTGTAAGAGATTCCTAGAAAAATCTTTCCCCTAAACCTGCTAGATCTCTTCCCATTTTCCCCATCTGGGGGAGTTACTAGCCTCACCATTCACCCTTTCTCAAAACAGAAATATAAGTGCCATCCTAGACTTTCTCCACCAGTTCCCTCATCCAGTTTCTAAGTCCTGTGAATTCCACATTTCATCTTATTAGATCTCCTCTTTTCCACTATTCTTTATCCCCATCCCTTTGCCCAAGCCTTCAGGATCTTTTGCCTAAAGTAGTGTAATTATCTCTCTTTCAGTATTACCACCTTCCAATCCTTTCCCACTGCCGCCAGAATGATTTCTCCTATAACACAAAATTGGCTCATACAAACCTTCCTGCTTCACAGCCTGCCAAAGCCCCTTGGAACCCATTACTTCAGTCTGGCCCTGTGTACCTTTTTCTGATGTCCTCTCCCATCATTCCCTCATAAACTGCCTGTGCTCCAGCCATACCTGAAGTTAAATACGCAGCCACACATTTGTTTGTACAGTTTCCTTTGCTTAGAATGGGTAACTCCCCCCTAGCAGACACATTGATCCTCTAAGACTAGACTGTCTTCTGTCCTGTGAAGCTTTCCCACGCTCACCCAGCAGAGACAACCACACACCCCCTCTTGTTCAGCCACTACACTGTTGCACATACCACAGATACTGTAGCTTTTCCTATCACTCTCCCTGACTCGATCGATCGAGTTCTTTTAGGACAGAAACCCTAGTAGATGCTGTGTACACATAGTGTTGACAAAAAAGAATAAGCACAGTTTACTGTTAACTATACTATTGTCACTGAAAATATATGGGCGTATGAGCTTTGGTAAATTACACCATCATATAAACAGTATTGAAAGTGTAAGCTGGAAAGTCCCTTTGGAAAACTGTTGGTCATTATCTTCTAAAGTTGAACGTACACATACCTTATGACCCGGCGATTCCTCTGCTAGGTAGACCCAGCAGAAATGCATGCACACGTGCATTAAGAGTCATGCACAAGAATTCTCACAGCAGTATTATCATTAGTAGTTAAAATCTGGATATAGGTCAAATGTTCATCAGTAGTAGAATGGATAAATTATGTATTCATAATGGAAATGGAGTGGAAAACCATAGAGCAATGAAAATAAATGAACCACAGCTATATACAAAAAAAAAATTAGGATGAATTTCACAATGTTGAGTGAAAGAAACAAAACACATATCACGTATTTCATTTATTTAAAGTTTAAAAACAGGTAAGATGACATAGTATTAAAAGGACGATGGGGGGACAAAAGGGCTCGTGATAGTGGGCATAAGAGAGACTTTTGGGTGCTGGCAGTGTTCTGTGTCTTGACTAGATAGTAGCTGCATGGATGTTTTGTGAAAATTTATTGAAATGTACATTTGTTTTTTGCACATTACTTTTTGTGTGTGATACTTGATAAAAATGGTTAAAACCATAAATAATTAAACAATGAGATGCCATGTCATACCCATCAAATTAGCACTGACTTTTAAAAATTTTAATACTCAAGGCTGGTGTGAAATGGGTCTGTGCTATAAGACTTAAACCTTCATATACTTCCAATGGAAATAAAATGTATTCTAACCTTTCTGGAAAGCAGTTTGGTAGTGATTTTGAAATATTTAAAGATACTGATCCCTTTCATTGCAGTTATTCCCTCTTAAGAACCTGCCATAAGGGCGCCTGGGTGGCTCAGATGGTTAAGCGTCTGCCTTCGGCTCAGGTCATGATCCCAGGGTTCTGGGATCGAGTCCCACATCGGGCTCCCTGCTCCTTGGGAGCCTGCTTCTCCCTCTGCCTCTCTCTCTCTCTCTCTCTGTCTCTCATGAATAAATAAAGAAAAATCTTCAAAAAAAAAAAAAAAAAAAAGAACCTGCCATAATGGAAAAAAATCTGAAGTGTGAATGTAGATATGTGCATAAAGATGTTAATCACAGTATTTTCCATAGTATAAAACCAACATTAGAGAGATGGATTATGTAAATTATGATGCAATATTATTAAAACCACTAAAATTTTTATTCATGAAGAGTTTTTCATGACATAGGAAAATGCTTATAAGTTAATATGGAATTATAGGTGTAATGTGATCTCATCTATGTTTATAAAAACAGTAAACAGACTAAAATGTGCAAAGTATGCTAAATATTACCGATTATGATTAATGAATTTCCTCCCGGCTTTTTATATTTATTGTATTTTTCCAATTTTTTGCAAAGAGCACAGATATTTTGATATTTTGAGGGGAAAAAGCTACAGTTGAAGCTTAGCTTTATTATCTGGCTCCACAGGTTATTTTTTCTTAATATAAATCAAATCTGCCTACCTTTACATTTCTTAATATTTATATCTGTCTCCATTTTAATTTTCTGAAGATTATAAATAGAAAAAAAATAGGTGAATGTCTCTCTAGTCTTTCAGTCTGTAGGTAAATTTCCACACTCCCATTTCTTTCCCAGGTTTGGGGATGCTGTGAAAGGTAATCTGGTGGTGGGTACCTTATCTTGGCCGTCCCCATGGGTGATTGTCATCGGCTCCTTCTTCTCAACATGTGGGGCTGGGCTTCAGAGTCTCACAGGTGCACCAAGACTGCTACAGGCTATAGCCAAGGATAACATCATACCCTTTCTGAGGGTGAGTAATCCTTTCCCATACCCTATTTCCTTTTCCTCAGATTTTTTGAGAAACCGTGGTCTTCATAGGCTTAGGAATTATTAGATCATATAATGTGAAGACATGTGGGTTTTTAGTACAAGACCTTCTAAATCCCTGTGAGGGATGAGTTTATATATGAGTGGGGTAAAGGTATTTAAAAGATACCAAAGTTGGTAACACTATTATCCTTCATATACCTGAAACTGTGGCATAGAGGAATCAGGGAGCATTGACTCTGGCACTCCCCACACACCTGTGTCTGATATTTCCCTTCTCTATACAGGTTTTTGGTCACAGTAAAGCCAACGGGGAACCTACCTGGGCTTTACTTCTAACTGCTGCCATTGCAGAGCTGGGGATTCTTATCGCCTCCCTGGATCTTGTGGCCCCAATTCTTTCTATGTAAGAGCCAGTTCTTCTCTTTACTTTTCTTGCTTATATGATGTGTAATACATGTTGATTTCCATCGGGCATATAACAGTAGTGATAAAAGAGTGAGCCAAGGACAGGTGTAACTTCACCTAAATAATACATATTCCTAAGAAGTTTCAAGTAAGACTAACTTTTATAAGTTGTCATGGTTTCTTCCTACCGGTATAACTTCACAAGTTCTTTGCCTTCATTTCTTATTATCAGTTGATTGTAGCTTTCACTGCTACTCTTAGCTTTGATCCTTCAACTGCAACTTAGTGATGACTTAATTACCCACCTGGCACTGGGCAGCATGCTAGGAATACAGAGATGGATTACACAACCCTAAGGAACCAATGATGGAGAGACCAGTGATCCTTGTGTAGTGTGATGAGAACTGTGGTAAAGGTGAACACTGCGTAAGAGCTCACAGCAAGGCACCCAAATGGACTGAGACTCAAGAAAGGTTTTCTGGAGAAAGGGACACTTGCATCTTGAAGGAGGACTGGTTATTTACTAAGCAATGAAAAGAGTGAGATGTCCCAGACACGGAATGTGTGTAAAGGAATTGAGGATTGAAACAACGCAGCACATCTGAGAATTCAAAGTAGTTTGGCTTTGATAGAAAGGAGCGTGCCTGTTCGGGGGCAGCTGAGCAGAGAAGTAGCTAGAGCCAGGTCACAAAAGACCCAGAACTTTTACCTGGAGGTAGTGAGTGATCCTTTGAGGATAGAATGATCATATTTATGTTTTAGAATGATAATTTGCTATAAAAGACAAGTGAAAAGGAGGCTAAAATTGAGCTGGGAATGCCAGCTGGAAGCTTATTTAATCCAGCAAGGAAGAAAAGGATCCTGAACTAAGATGATAATAGTAGAGATGGAAAGGAGGGGAAAGGTTTAAAAATGTGTAAATAGGTAGAATCCATAGGACTTGATAAGTTAATTTGGAACAAGGATGAGTGACAATGAGGAAATGGATTATCCCAAGAGCAACTGGGTAATGTCTTTCACTGAGAGAGAACACAGGCAAATGAGCAAGTTCGTGGGGAGAAGTTAAAGTTCTCTACATCCTAGTCTTAATCAAAGGCTAGTGGGCTAGAACAACAAGGTCTTTATCTATAATAACCTTTGGAGAATCATTTTACAATAATAATCATGCCTCTTACTATTTATATTCTGCCAGGTTTTTCCTCATGTGTTACCTCTTTGTGAACTTGGCATGTGCATTGCAAACATTACTTCGAACACCCAACTGGAGACCCCGGTTCCGCTACTACCACTGGTAAGTCTGCTCTTTTTCTTCTTCTTCCCCACATTTGGAGAGAACCCATCATTGAACTAGAAAACTAGAAGATTCTGGGTGGTTAATACAATTTTTCTTGGCCAGCCATCCTACTGCCTGTTTCAACTTCAGTGATTACCTGAATTTCCACCACTTTACTGTGTTTTTTCATAGGTCACTTTATAATTTATAACACCCACTTGAGAATAAAGATCAAAACTATGAAATAAATATTTCCAGCTTGCTGCATTCTTCAGGTTAAACCAGCCTACCCTTTGCATATCTGTTTTCCCATTTCCCTCTTAGCTAAGCACTGGACTTCACCCCTTTCTATCTTTATTCTCATCAGTTTTCATTCTCGAACTCTCTCTTCCTTAGGAGGTTCATGTAGCAGGTAAGAGTATGAGCTATGGAGTCAGATGACCTTAGCTCAGTGTCAGCTCTATTTCCTAGTTTTGTAGCTTTTACCAAAGCACATAACTACATCAAATTTAATTTTACTCATTTGTGAAATGGGACTGATAGTATTACCTATCTCATAGGGTTGCTTTGAGATGATCTGAAGCGCTCAGTACAGTGCCTACTACATAGTAAAGCTCTCAGTGAAACGTTGGACAGCTGCTGCTGAGTTCACGTCTCCTCGGTCTTAAGGGAGTCATCACGCTTTTAGCTACCATCCCATCTCCTCCTTTCTTTCCTGTCTTAGCTAAAGGTTCTTTAATATGTCCTGTAGGCACCTGTTGCTACATTCCTCTGTGCTAACTTCCTCCTTGACCCTTTCCTGACTTCACTTACCCGTGATGGGCAGGAGTGTGACCTTTATGTGGCAAAAATTTAGATCCTCACTGATTTTATCACCTCTAATCTTCCTTCTAGCTTTAACCTTAATTAAATGTTCACTATGAACTCTGTTGTGTTACTGTTTTGCTTTTGTTACCTTTTCCCTTTATCCTTCTATTTTTTTTTTAAAGATTATTTTTGACAGAGAGAGCACACAAGCGGGGGGGGAGCATGAGGAGAGGGAGAAGCAGGCTTCCCGCAGAGCAGGGAGCCCGATGTGGGGCTCGATCCCAGGATCCTGGGATCATGACCAGAGCCGAAGGCAGATGCTTAACCATCTGAGCCACCCAGGCACCCCTCCTTCTCCTATGTTTTTATTAGATCTGATTTTCTCCATTCACTCTTTTTGAAATTCATCATGGAGCTAAGAAGTTCATTCTGTACACAGTAGAACTTCAGTAAGCATGGTTGTCTACCTGATCTATTTGATCAAAACAGGCATTCCATCATTCTCTGCCAAGTTTCTCTCCTCTCTCTCTCTTTTTTTTTTTTTAGTGAGAGAGAAGAGAGTGAGAAAGAGTGAACACAAGTGGGGGGTGGGGCAGAGGGAAAGACAGAGACTTTTTTTCTTTTTTAAAGACTTTATTTATTTATTTGACGGAGCAAGAGAGCACAAGCAAGGGGAACAGGAGAGGGAGTGGGAGAGGGAGAAGCAGGCTCCCCGCTGAGCAGGGAGCCCGATGTGGGACTCAATCCCATGACCCTGGGATCATGACCTGAGCCAAAGGCAGACGCTTAACGACTGAGCCACCCAGGCACTCCGAGAGAAAGACTCTTAAGCAGACTCCACACTTAGCACTGAGCCCAACACAGGGCTCCATCCCAGGACCCTGAGTTCATGACTTGAGCCAAAATCAAGAGTTGGACGCTTAACCCACGAGCCACCCAGGTGCCCCTCTGCCACGTTTCTCTTATGTAAAGTAAGGAAACTAATGGCAGATTTCCTTCAGTGGGTTCTGCATGTATGCTAATGAATGTTAATATGGTTTTAAGCAATATTTACATGAAATACTTTTTTTAAAAGATCATGTTAATAATTCTGACTACATGCCCCATCCTTGCTTTGCCAACTAGGCATTAATTATCCTCACAACTACAGATAACTTTCATTACATCCTGTTCATTTATATGTTTTCCCAGCAATGAGAAACATCAGCACAAAGGATGGTTTGGGCCTCGGTGCAGATCTACCGACTATTGCAGTCCATGATAAGACAACTATAAAAATTGAGAAAAATATTTTGAAACTTTTATAGCAATTTGACATTCTCACAGCATCCAGGCATATAGTAACTTTTCTAATAACTCATTTTTATTGCGTTTTACAGAAGTTCAGTCTGCAATATATTGGAATTTAGCAATCCCTCACCAGTTTGAGAAGCATCTCTAGCACAGGCTTCTTTTTAAGCTGCTTAGAAAAACACTTTCTTGTTTGTGTTTTTGTTTTTAATTTTCTAGGGCCCTCTCTTTCATGGGAATGAGTATCTGTCTGGCTCTGATGTTCATTTCTTCCTGGTATTACGCCATCGTAGCTATGGTAATAGCTGGTATGATCTACAAGTACATCGAGTACCAAGGGTGAGTCTGTGGATTTGACCTTGATTACTGCTAAAAGTATCAAAATGGACTAGTTTGTGTAGAGCCAGCCCAATGAAAATTGCAGTAAGGATCCAGATAACCTCATTCATCTGTAACTAAATTTTGTATCCCCAATTCTTTTAGCCATCTTACAGACACAAACATACAGAATCAACAAGGGGAACCCATTGAGAAAGTATGAACAGATCAGTGAAAAAAGTAGCTTAAAGGACTTGTCAAATAATAATGATGAGTATTAAAGTATAACACAAATACAAGTATTTTTGCTTATCTCTTCAGTCAAGGTATTATCTCTGAAATGAAAAAGAAATTAATCCTGAATAACTATAACAACTAAGACTTCAGAAACACCTAGCAAAATTTAGGAATAAATAACACTGGTTCAGAAGATTACATTGAGTTTTGCTTTTCCCCATTATTTTCAAAATTAAATTAAACTTTGGGTCTGTCGTAAGTTCCTTCTCCAAATAGCTGTTTTGCATTATTGCTTTTGAACAGTTACATAGAAGGACAAGTGAGTGATACTTCCAGCCTTTATTTTGAATTGTTTATTGTACAGTGTGGTCCATTGATGAAGGACAGTGTGGATCTGCTTTTGGTGGGTTCCTTATGTTAATAAAGAGCATTATATAAATAATGAGTTTTAATTTTCTTCCTTGTGCATATGTTAGTTTTAGATAAAGAAAAAATAAACTTTATGTTTTGAAATTGTACTTGATATAGTTGAAATCTGTCTCTGCTTTTTTCTCTTTTGTCTCCCAGAGCGGAGAAAGAATGGGGTGATGGAATCCGTGGGCTGTCCCTCAGTGCAGCCCGGTTTGCTTTGCTCCGGCTGGAAGAAGGACCGCCACACACTAAAAACTGGAGGTAAAGAAATCAGTAGAGCTTAGTGGTGTAGTGTTTGGCACATGGTTAACACACACAACTATGTGCTTCTGTGATTACAGGATAAGGAATTCAGGTGGCTCAAGGAATTGGTATAATGGACCCATTTTGAATGATTCCAGATCCTTCATACTTTATTCTCTTTTCTTCATGGGATATCTGGTCTAGACTTCAGCCATTTTTATTGTTCCTTGCAGAATGATCGATTTGTGGTAATACTGGGAGGATTGAAATAAACTACACCCTCATCCTATCGTTTTCTCTAATCTCTTCCTTCTGCCCGATTACAGTTTTATATAGATCTCCTGAATTAAAGGGTAGAATTGTCATTCTGTTCCCCAAACCCAAAGTTTTTTCTCCCTTCCACCCTCCCACCAATCTCTCTGCAGGCCTCAGTTACTTGTATTGCTGAAATTAGATGAGGACTTACACGTCAAGCATCCTCGCCTCCTCACCTTTGCCTCACAACTTAAAGCAGGAAAGGGTCTCACTATTGTGGGCTCTGTCATTGTGGGGAACTTCCTGGAGAACTACGGGGAAGCTTTAGCTGCTGAACAGGTAAGAGTCAAGGCTTATTGACTTAGTGGAATTTAGCTTCTGGTTTTGTGATGTTAAGTTGTTAGATGTCATATTTCTAAGTTAATCCCTTTCCTGAGTGATCTAGGAGGTTTCCTTCTTAGTGCTGACTTTTGAACAATCATATTCTCCCAAATAAGAAGATGAACCAGAAGATAATAATTTATTTTTTCCATTTAAAAAGCATTACTAAACTTTTAAGATTGTCAAGGCTAAGCACTGTTTGCAAGTAGACTCTAAACATTGACTCAGGCCTCAGAGAAGTCAAGTAAATAAATCTGTCCCTTGAATCGTGGAGATGGTTCTGCTCAATCTGGTGACAAGGAGCAATGAACAACTTTCCTTTCTCCTTACCAGTCTACCTTGGTATCATGAGCAAGGTTCTTTTGCTTTACTTCTGATTAACTTGCCAAGTATAAGTTCTCCCTAAAGAAGAAAGCAGTTTTCACTCTAATACTTATTATAAATGATAAAACCAACCCTTTTATTTCAAAAATTTTACTGGATTTCATTTGGAATACTTTGAAACCCTAAAAACTAGAAATGCTTGAAGAAACACTAGTCTGGAATGATGGTAAAAATAAATAAAAAGCACAGGATTGGAAATCAGTAAAGCTTGCTTATTACCCTTGCTACATCACTGACTTAATCTGTACCTTCAGGAAAATTCTGTCCTCTTTCTACACCATTATTCCCTTCATCTTTCCACTAAGAGAGTAAATGAAGTATTATCTCCAACTTGGCTTGAATAAATAATAGCAAAGCAAAGACAAGGGTCATCAGTAGTCACCATTAAAATACCAAAACAGATGGAAATAGGAGAAACGAAAAAAAAAAAAAACATACCAGAGAAAATTTTTAAGTGAAACTGAATCATCAGATTGAGTTTCTAATAATACGAGTCAGGGTATCAGGGCGATTGAGGAAGGAAGTAGATCATGTTCACACTCAGCCTGGCCAGTTAAGAAAGAATATTGAATATTTGTTTTACGAAGATCCCTGCTCTTGATTTGTTTGGTATGTTACAAAGAAGGGAAAGCAGAATAGAGGAAAAGGCAGAGGAACTCCATTGCTGTAGTCAACCAGCAATATATGTAGTAAGCACTTAGTGAAAAAGGCAAAGGATAATGAAATTCCATTGGCCTAATTTTACTTTTTGGACTTTTCTGTAGGAGATACGGTCTTAAGCAGAGTTTGGAAAAGAGGAGGAGATTATAAGACAAGGAGTAATAGATTAAAAGGTTCAGGGTGAAGCAATTCAGCATTGAGGTTCTCTTTTTCAGACCATAAAGCATCTAATGGAGGCAGAGAAGGTGAAGGGATTCTGCCAGCTGGTGGTGGCAGCCAAGCTGAGGGAGGGCATTTCCCACCTCATCCAGTCATGTGGCCTTGGGGGCATGAAGCACAACACGGTGGTGATGGGATGGCCTAATGGCTGGCGCCAGAGTGAAGATGCTCGAGCGTGGAAGACTTTTATCGGTACAGAACACTTTTCATTTTATCCTGAGGGCCCAAATAGGGATTACAGTTAAACCTCTGTTGCCTTAACCCTACCCCATAGCCTAAAGTAGAGACCGTGGCATTGCGGAAGCATAGTCCCATAAGGGCACCTAAGTAACTACTAACAGTAATAATCCTATTCTCCTCACCCCCTCCAGCTTTATATTATGTTCATGAATTGTTTATCTCTGTCGAGTATTATGCTAGGAATTATCTCTGAAATTGCCCTATTTTCATTTGTGATCTGCCTCATTGATGTTCTCACAGGAATTGGAAGGATGGTCTTTCATCAAAATCTCCAGAATTCACATAACCCCCCCCTTAGAAATGTAGTGATCAGCATATATCTAGTAATATAAATCATGGTTCTGAATCTAATTCTGTTAGTTATTCAGATTTTTCTTAATGATTGTTGTTACTTGATGAGGTATAACCCACTATGTAAACAGAATACCTTGCTTAAAGAAATGTAAAAAAAAAAAAAAAAAAAACGCATTACCCTTGCTTTCCTGACATGGTGGGAAGCAAGGCAAGCCTCAGGAGTCTTCTCTGTTTATCCTGATTCTGTTTTCTCCCTAGGCACAGTTCGAGTGACAACTGCTGCCCATCTGGCCCTGCTGGTGGCTAAAAACATCTCCTTCTTTCCCAGCAATGTGGAGCAGTTTTCTGAGGGCAACATTGATGTGTGGTGGATTGTGCATGATGGGGGGATGCTCATGTTATTACCATTCCTACTTAAACAGCACAAGGTATTTTAGATACCTTTTGAAAAAAGTCTTTCTCCCTTGATATCGTCCTGGTTCACTAGACAGATGCTTCCTCTTTGATTATAGTGTTGGGGCTTAGGATCAGAAGAGTTGGGGATTTTTCTTAGCTTTCCCATGATCCTACTTTCAACCGTATGAGAAGTAAGTAGTTTTCTTTCTAGTTGATACCTACCTATCTCTAAGTGAAATTCAGCAAGTTAATAAAGTTCCATATGAGCTCTTGGAAAAACATTAAGAAGTGACACGTCCATTTAAAAAAAAAAAAAAAAAAGACCAAAGTCTCTCAAATGCTGGAAACCTATGTTTGGGTGTGTGGGTATCTTATACATAGGTATGCTCATCCTTTGGTAAGACTAGTTAAACTGAACTTTAAAATAATAAATATTAGAGTCTGCATGAGGCATCAATATGCTATCTGAATACAGTACCCTCTTAATGTATATATATCCCCTTTTGCCAGTTTTCTTCTTGTTAGGAAATTAAGAACTTCTTAAAGCTGTTTTTAATGTGTTTTTAGTTAAGCTTTTGCCTTCGTACAATAGTATATCAAGTTAGAAGCTAAGAACAACAAATATCCTGATACTATAGCAAGACTGTCCAAAGCAAAAAATGTCTTGTGTTTGAGGAATAACTCTTTTTTTTTTTTTTTTTTTTTGGCCTTCTTGCATCTCACTTTCCATGTATGTATGGTACTTTCTCAGGTGTGGCGAAAATGTAGCATTCGGATCTTCACAGTAGCCCAACTAGAAGACAACAGTATTCAGATGAAGAAGGACCTGGCTACCTTCCTCTACCACCTACGCATCGAGGCCGAGGTGGAAGTGGTAGAGATGGTGAGAAAGCGGAGTTTGAGATCAAACAGACCACCCTTCCCCCACTTCCTACCCTGTCTTCCTAGAACTTTTTTTGGTTTGGGAAATTGTTCAGCTGCAAATGTGGATTAATCTCTTAGTTCCAACAAAGCCCTAATATATTGATCTAGATAAGTAGAATATGAATGTGTTGTGTATTCGGTGGATTTTATTTTTGCTCTTTTGTTATACAGCCTTTATATTTCTACCAGATTGTCTGCTTAATATGGTTTTATCAAGTTTTAATTCATATATGCATGTTAAAATCACACACAGTGCTTTTTTTTAATAATAACCTAGCAGTCTTAAAAAAAAAAAGACTAGAGTTTGTATTTTGTTTCAAGGAAACATATATGTAATGGTTGGATTATGGAAAAGACTCTCAGGGCTTCTAGATTTGCTCTACAGTCCATAATATTATATAGCTCAGTAACTGAAGAACATAGGAGTGAAACTTAGGTTGATATTGTGATACTTTCTCTGGCTTAATTTAGTGAGTGGACATGAAAGTGTATGGTTCATCCTTCTTTCTCCTTTGTGCTTATTGCCCACTCTGTGTTATCTACGGCAGCATGACAGTGACATATCTGCTTATACTTATGAGCGCACCCTGATGATGGAGCAGAGGTCCCAGATGCTCCGGCACATGCGACTGTCCAAAACAGAGAGGGACAGAGAGGTGAGACCTTCCTGTATTCATTGAATGCTAGTCTGTCCCTGAGAGGGATGATACTATATTGTTCTCATAGAATGACACATTCTTTCCTTCTCCCTTTATCAGTTCTTTCACTATAACCACATTATTATTTGAAAATAATTGAAGCTGAAGCGTGAGAGGGAATTGGGTACAGAGGTCATAGCTATGTTGGGCCCTTCTCAGGCACAGTTGGTGAAAGACCGGAACTCAATGCTGCGATTGACCAGCATTGGCTCTGATGAGGATGAAGAGACAGAAACCTATCAGGAGAAGGTGCACATGACTTGGACAAAAGACAAGTACATGGCATCCCGGGGACAAAAGGCTAAGTCGATGGAAGGATTCCAGGACCTGCTTAACATGCGTCCGTAAGTTTTCCAACTCACAAGCTTATCATGTAATATGGTATCCTAGTCAGTGGCACACATGTGACTTTGCCTGGATACACAGGATGAGGTCTGTTCTTCATTTCACCCCAAATCCAGCCATCTCTGTTATTTGCCTGTGCATATCAGCTACCAGTTAACATTGTGCATAAGCTAACCACCCTTCTTTCTCACCATACTGTGTTCCTGGAATAAAACAAGCAAATGTAGAATGAGAAAACCCAGGATATTAGTATAAAGAAATCATTTGTTCACTACATTATTCATAGTCAAAGCAAAAAAGTTCTGTATCTCAAGGTTTTTAAAGTTGACTATATGCCTAGCTTTCTCTTTGCCTTAACCACCTCTCTTTCTCCCTTCCACCCGTCCAGAGACCATTCCAATGTGAGGCGGATGCATACGGCAGTGAAACTCAATGAGGTTATAGTTAACAAGTCCCACGAAGCAAAGCTGGTTTTGTTGAATATGCCAGGGCCACCCCGAAACCCTGAGGGTGATGAAAACTGTATCCTTTCCAAGAATGGAGCTACCAGTAGGGAAAGTCTTAGCCTGTTTCTTAGATAAGACCACTAGGTAACCTTAAAAGTCATTGTCTGTGCCCATATTTCCTTCTCAAGGAGGAAAGGCTGTTAAAAGTCTTAGGCAAGGATTCTTACACAGCAGTGAGATTGATCTCCTTTGGGGGAGCTGGGTATATATGTTCTCTCTGAACCCTAAAGAGACTTTTTAGGTGGTAAATTTGCAACATGACTTCTAATATTCACAGTATAGAATCCTTTCTGAAACAGTCCTAGAGACGCAATACCCACATCCTTTCTCCTTTTCTCAGGCTCCACCCACTTTGCAAAGCGTCTTTCTTGTGGATGTAGTTAGGGGAGAAGCAGTTTAAGTGAAATCTCCTCTGAGGGGAAAAAAAAGATAAGGGTTTTTCCTCATACCCTGATCACAGGATTTTTTTAATGGGACCCCTTCAAGAATGCAATGGTATAGACTGGCCCATTCCCATCAGTACCATTAAGGAGAAGAGATTAAGAAAAAAAAAAAAAAAACTGGCAGAAAAATCTGATTTGAGCAGCTTCACTTAGAAATTACTTGGGTTCTCTCGAGCAGTCTTATAAGCTGCCCTGTTGTGGCCTTTTCTTCTTTTTTGGCTTATTTTGCTGTGGTACAAACACATTACTTGTGAGTTTCCCCCATTTGTAAAGTTACATTTAGAAAAAAGTCTAACAAATGAAGGTCTTGTATTATATATGCAAAGGAATTAGATCCCTGGATTATTTCACAGGGTTAAATTAAATCCAGAGTTCAGACGTCTCCAACTCTGAGTATATATAATAATGAAAACAAGTATGTTAATTTTGCAGCTTTGCAGTCAGATAAACCTCGATTATCATGTCAGGTTATAAAGTGTGTTCTTCTCCTCATTTGTCTCCTTGACAAATTCGGAAGACATGGAGTTCCTAGAAGTGCTCACCGAGGGACTAGAGCGAGTCCTCCTTGTCCGGGGTGGTGGCAGTGAAGTAATCACCATTTATTCATAATCTACTCCTGAAGACTCTGCTTGGCCTCACCTTTCCTAAAAGGCTTCCATTCTCCATGGAAGTGCCAGCTCTTTACTACTACTCCCATCAAGTAGAGGCCTGGGTTCTGTACACATCACACTGAACTCTTGACAAGCTGAACCTCGAGTACTTGTGCAAAAAAGTACACGTAGTTCTGCTCTTTGCTATCATATGATCTGCTGTCCTTACAGAAGAAGCAGATATTTCCTCAATATCAGAACACTGGTCAAGTCCTAAAAGCCATGTCTGTACTAGTTGAAGGCAAATTAGAATTAACAGGCTAAACCATTAAAATGAGTTGGCAAAAGGGATGCTAGAAATTCAAGAAGACGAAAAGCAAGTACATGTCCAACATTAAAGGGGAGTCTCAGAAGTCATGGTCCAATGATGACACCATGGGGGTAACAGCCAGAGACACAGCTTCATCATACTAAAGAATGCATGGCCGAGTATGTGGGGACCTAACATCCTTGTGGAGATAACCTGTGGCAAACCAAGATGAAAATCTTTTTTAGCTAATTTTCTTTAATGTTTCCATTGTTCTCCAGGACTCTATTTTATATTAGGGTACTATACAAAAACTGAAACATGGCTACAGCCTCTACTTCTTCCTCCAACACAAGATTCCCCCCAAATACCAGGTTCCAGTACACATACTATGTCGGTTTATATGTCAGCTGGTTCTCAAAACCCAGTCTGTGGTTAAGATTGTAATACACGCATTGTTATCCTGGAAATTGTTTTTTTAAAGGTGGAGTAAAAAGAATTTCTTTCAGGTTCTTTTCAAATGGCCAAATTAGGGTACCCTAACTCCAAATTAAGATCTACTGAAACAGTCTGTGGTTACCATGTGCGACATGGTCAAAACAAGCAAGCTGTTGTCCAAGAAATCTAGATGATGATGCACATTGACCAGTAGTTTCGCCTCTCCTTTCTTTTATGCCCTCTGGGTTAGTAGGCACAGGTCCAAAATCATAGGAATAAACTAGGAAGACTGGCTAAAATCCTTCCCTAAAAGCTTTGAACTATCTTTTAAAGGGGGAATCCAGCAATGGAATTCGAAGTTCTAGAGCCATACTCCTTCCATAGTGCCAAAGATTGAGTTGCTGCTACTCTCCCTACCTGCTTCACTAAAGTGGCATACGATTGGCATTGACCTGATTCAAGAAACTTATTTTTCACTAAGAAACCTGTGCACTCATTTCCAAAGCCATAGCCAAGACTTGAGGCACTCAACTCATCTAAATGTCCGGAGTATGAGCGTTTTTATCAATTTTATTCTTCATTGTGACTGCAGGAACTTGGCTCTGAACCAAGATTATCCAAGCCAACAGTCCTCTGCTATTCCAGTTGTTTTCAGAAAGCTCTCAATGTGTCAAGGAAGTACTTGTACAAGCTTAGCTTTTTATTTGCTGGTCATAAAACATTTACTGGTCATTTTAATTTACTGGTCATAAAACACCTAGCTTTCAAGCATAGGGAAACTACCTTGAGTGGTAATTGCAAATATGTGAAATGGTCCTTTCTTTTATAGGATAAGTATTTAGAAAAACTGTTTTGCCTGTATTCATGACTGCTCTTCAATCACCTTTTTAATGATAAATACTGCCACTCTTCTTTGATCACCCAATAGGATATGGAGCAAGCAAACCTAGGTCCCAGCAGATTATTCATTTGATTTTTATGGACAGAGAAAACCTTTTCTTCAGTATGGCTTAAGAAACTGAGTATTTTGTTCCCTTTGCTCTTTTTTCAACCTCAAGACCCAGTCAGGGTAGCAAAACAAACATGATCTTTAAGTTCCTGCTCCTTCCTGCAGAGGGTAGAAGCACTGTTAAAATTTCCATTGTAATACTCTGTTGTTTAGTTGAGTCCACAGTAGTGGAACAGGTTCTCTAGGACCAAGATATTGAAGCCCCCGTGCTTTAAAGGTCAGCCTGCCCAGGAATTCCTCTACATTTACACACATCCTCTGGCCAAAGTGGTTGATACATATATTTTTTTTCCATATAGAAAAAATATGGGCAGAAAACAAGGTTTTAGAAGAGCTTTTTGTGGTTGGAGCTCTGTAAGAATCTTTTAAAGGGATAAGGGAGTGAGTGGCTATTAATACAGCCACTACTTCAGCCCCTAAAACATAAAATCACCATTACATGGGAAAATGGTTATTAGGCCAGATTTAAACTCATCTCTGTCTAGAGCATTTCACGTCCATGTGTTGCTTATGTTGTTCGTCTGTGAAGTGTCTTGTCTCTTCTAATCACTGCAAATAAAGCAATACTGAAAACTTGGCGAGAGAGAATGCACCTTAGGGGAAGGGCTTTTGTGTTTCAAGAAGGAAGAGAAAGGAAAGACCTCTTCCTGCCTTCTGAATAAGATCCAGCTTTTAAGTCTTAGCTAAGATTTACCAGGGCAGACTATGACAATATACCTTCTCCAGCTGCTGGCCTTCTGCCTTGTAAAGCTATCTTAAAAGCTGAGGTTTGAATTGCAGCATCTGCTCAGCAGGGGCCCGGTTCCTCTTGGCAGGGGAAAGATCATTACCGTGTATCTTCCTTTGCCTCAGATTCCTGTGGCCCCAACTAGCCCGCCAATCCTCACTCCCCCTAAATGTGTTAAAAATCCATTATTGTGGATGTTAAAGTAGCAATTACACTGTAAGCATATTTATGTACTCTTTTTGTCTGGTTTATTTTTCTTTTCATCATGTATAATCTGAATCCAGCATTAGTTTCTCACATCTTCCAGTGTCTCCAACAGAATTTTTATGTTCCAGCTTGTGTTAAATAGAAGTGAAACATTAAGGAAAATAGAGTTAAGGGAAACTTGTGCAACCTTTTTTTTAAGCATTGTTCTCAACCATTTAATTTATTGAAAGGAGATGCTGCTGTGGTTCTTGATTTAGCAGCAACCATTTTGTTTACATAGAGTTACAGTTTTATTTGTTGTTTTGCTCTGTACTGGAAACATAAATAAAGTTTTCTACATTATTTTCATTCAAGGGTTGTGGTATAGTTTCTTTGTGTGTTTGGAGTGATACGTACATTGTCTTTCTGGGATTCATCTCCTCACCATGGAGTAAAGAGAGCTTTGGTTCTGTTCAGCATGAGTGATAACTTTAAGAATTAGTATGCTGAGAAGGAGCCACTGGGCACAAAAGAAGGTTGTAAATGAGATCCCGATACACAGGCACCAGGTGCTTCTTTCTCCTCTTCACAGAAGCAATCCTCCACCACTAAACTCCATCCTCTGAAACAAGGTAAATAGGTGATTGGTGAATTGGTGTTGAACTAACTTATAGAATCAAGTTCTTTATTTAATCACAGGCTCTATTTAGCTTTATCCTTAAAAAAGTAACAACTTCCAAACTCCCAAGGGATCTTATTTCTTAACAAATAAGCTCTAGTACCAACTCAAATCCCCCACCATCAAATGGGTCTGCTATTTACATTACAACTGCCCCAAATTTAACTTTTCCTTTGCTTACCTCAGGGGGCTCAATGAAGGCTAACCAGTCTGATGCATGTGTAGGCAACAGTCCCATTGACTGGCACTTATAAACAGCCAATGCCAAACCCATGAGGTTTCCAATGAGATACACCAAACCCTGAAGAAACTTCTGGCTTGAACTTTCTAGCATCTTGAAAGCTGTTGGGGTAACAAAAAGTGTCAAACCCAAAACAACTTTTTTTTTTAATATGAATCAGGCCATATTTTAAAATAATATAGAGAGACCCAAAGTAAAATAGCAAATAGGACCATTAAAAGTGAACAAAAAGCCATGATAAGCTCCATTTCCCTCCTCCACGCCACCACCTCTACCATCACCACCCTGCACACCCTCCCCCTGGCCACTAGCCAAGAGCAGTACTAAAGATTTTCATGGGTTTCACTAATATTTGTCTTTAATTCTTAAAACTTAAGGAAGGGTTGTTGTATCAAGAATACTTACTGGCTGAAATGGCCATAAGTGCCTGAATGGGCCGCCAAGCCATCATACACACCATCATAGTAGGGAAGATGGAGATCGTATTGCCTGCCATGTACATGATGAAGAGGTTCATGGGAATCTGCTTGAGGGGACCCAAGGCAATGTCCCAGCAGCGCTAAAACAAACACAATTTTAACCTATGATATCTATCCTCAGTCCCACATTTATCGGGTCACTGATGTTAAAGTCAATTCCCAATTCTGTGCTGCTGACTGAGCTGACTCCTCAGTTCCACCACGTCTGTCTGCCCTTCTCCATGTTGCCACAGGAAGCTTGCTCTTCTAAAAATAAGGCATCCTCACCATTCGTTATGTTTTTTCCTACTGGTTTTCCAGATACCATTTTTCCCCATGATTTGGCTAAAGAAAAAAAGACTTCCCTACTTTTGTTCTTGTACTTCTGCATCTCTCATTGCCCCATCTACAACTGAAATAGGTAAATCCATAGGGTGGGAGATTAGCACACCTCAATAACTAAAAGAACAAGCTGACAAATCAAGATATTAAGATCTAAATGACATTATTAACTGACATATATAGAACACTGCACCCAACATTTGGAGAATTCATTCTTTTCAAACACACATGGGACACTTACAAAAGCTGACCACTTGCTGAGCCTTGAAGAAAGTGTCAACTCTCAAAGAACCCAAATCATACAAAGCATGTTCTTTGCTTATGATGCAATTAAGCTAGAAATCAGTAACAAAAAGAAAACTAAAAATTCCCTATATATTGGAATTAAATGCATTCTAAATAATCCATAAATAAAAGAAAATACAATGGAAAACAGAAATATTGTTAACTGATAACAATAACAAAAATGCCACATATTATCCTTGTGGGACACGGAGCACTGAAAAATTTATAATACATATTTAGAAGACTAAAAATAAAGTAAGCATTTGGGGCACCTGGGTGGCTCAGTCGGTTAGGCATCTGCCTTCAGCTCAGGTCCTGATCCCAGCGTCCTAAGATAGAGCCCCGCATCAGGCTCCCTGCTCAGCGGGGAGCCTGCTTCTCCCTCCGCCTCTGCCTGCCTGTCTGCCTACTTGTGATCGCTCTCTCTGTCAAATAAATAAAATCTTATAAAAAAAAAAGTAAGCATTATTTCTTTTTTTACAATCTTTTTAAGTTTTAATTCCAGTTAACATACAGTGTAATATTAGTTTCAGGTGGTACAATATAATGACTCAACACTTCCATACAAGCTCATCACAAGTGCCCTCCTTAATCCTTATCGCCTCTTTCACCCATCCCCCCACCCATCTCCTGTCTGGTAACCATCAGTTTGTTCTCTATGGTTAAGAGTCTGTTTCTTGGTTTGCCCTCCCCTCTTTTTTCCCCCTTTGCTCATTTGTTTCTTAAATTTCATATATGAGTGAAATCATACGGTATTTGTCTTTCTCTGATGTATTTCACTTAGCATTATACCCTCTAGCTCCATCCATGTCATTCTCAGCATCTATTTTAATAAGTTAGAAAAAGAAATAGATTAAACCCAAGGAAATGAAAAGGAAAAATGAGAAAAGAAATTAATAAATTTTTCTTTAAATCAACAAGGCTAAAGGTTGGTTTTTTTTTTTTAAAGATTTTATTTATTTGAGAGAGAGAGAAAGAGAGAGAGCACATGAGAGGGGGGAGGGTCAGAGGGAGAAGCAGACTCCCTGCCGCGCAGGGAGCCCGATGTGGGACTCGATCCTGGGACTCCAGGATCATGACCTGAGCTGAAGGCAGTCACTTTAACCAACTGAGCCACCCAGGCGCCCTAAAGGTGTTTTCTTTTAAAGGTTAATAACATCAATACTGGTGAGCCTGATGAAGGAAAAAGAGAAATATTCAACATTGGGAATAAAAGAGGGACAACTCTATAGTTCTGGCAGTGTATTAAAATGATCATATGGGCGCCTGGGTGGCTCAGTTGGTTAAGCATCTGCCTTTGGCTCAGGTCATGATCCCAGGGTCCGGGGATAGAGTCCCGCCTCAGGTTCCCTGCTCAGCGGGGAGCCATCTTCTCCCTCTCCTCCTCCCCCTGCTCATCATCTCTCTCTCTCTCTCTCTCAAATAAATAAAATCTTAAAGTGATCATATTACAGGGGCACCTGGGTGGCTCAGTCGTTAAGCGTCTGCCTTCGGCTCAGGTCATGATCCCAGAGTCCTGGGATCGAGCCCCACATCGGGCTCCCTGCTCAGCGGGAAGCCTGCTTCTCCCTCTCCCACTTCCCTCTGCTTGTGTTCCTGCTCTCACTGTCTCTCTCTCTGTCAAATAAAATCTTAAAAAAAAAAAAAAAAAGTGATCATATTACAAATTTGGGGAAATGGATAAATTCCTAGAAGAAAAACCTAATAGCATAATAAATTGAAAATTTAGTCATAAAACTGTTTAAGAAACTGAATCTGTAATTAAGCACAGATGGTTTCTCTTGGCAAATTCTAAACATTTAAGGAAAAAATAAAGCCAATCTTATACAAATTCTTTCAGAAAATAAAAAATGAACATTCATTACATGGGGCCCCATAAATACCAAAACCTGACAAGGACATTATGAGTAAAGTTTATAGATCAATATCACTCCTGAACCTAAATGCAAAAATCCTACTAAACAAAATATTAACAAAGTAAATCTAGCAATATTAGAAGAATATATCACTATCCATTTGAGCTTACTCATGTTAAAAGAATAAATGGACATATTTGTAAGCAATTCCCTGGTGTGTCACTTACATAAAAGATCATTTATCTGGGACTTTAAAGATCAAACCATACAACAGAACTGTTCTAAAGTAAGTATAATCATCTACCTTCAAAATCAGGCCATTTTAATAATACTTTCATGTTATTGTTCATATTACAATTTGATGTACCAAGATGAAAAATGATATACTTATCAAGAAAAGCACTGATACCAGCTGTCATTTTCCTGTAAAAATCACTGCATTTCATGAAATAAAGATCATTTAGTATTGAACAATATTAAGGCTAAGAGGAAAGAAAATGCCAGCTACTGTTCTAGGCACTTGGGACACAAAATCCGCTTTCCTGGACATTACGAGAGTAAAAAGACAGGTAATAATCATATCATGTATATGAATGATATGGAGAAATAAAGTAAGAAAAGAGGACAGGGAGTGCCCTGAGTAGGTTTCTCTAAGAAGGTAATATCCGAGAGACCTAAGGGAAATGACAGAGCAAGTCATACAGGTTATCTGGGGGAAGAGTATTCCAGGAAGAGGGAAAGAACATGTACAAAAAGCCCGGGATGGAAGCCTGCCTGCTATTTTCAAGGAGCAGCAAGGAGGCCATTCTGACTAGAGTGGAATGAAGAACAAAGGGGAAAGTGGCAGGAGATGAAATCGCTCAGACTAGAATGAGAGGTAAGGTAAGAAGAAGTAGTGATGAGTAGCAAAAATTTAAATCTGTTTTGAAGATAAAACCAAAAGAATATCCTGACACATTGGTTGTGTGGTTGTAAGGGAACTAGGGTAAAAGAATGATTTCAACCATTAGGCACCGGTACCGAAGGATAATTTCCAACCTACCTCCTTACATGTTCAAACATATTTTATTTTTCTAACTATTAAGCACTTTTACTACTGTAAATTAATCTCAAGCAGTTTACCAATATTAGGGATAAGACTCCCACAGTAGGATATTCATATGCTGCTCGGGAGAGGACGGTGGATATGTAGGTCAGGACTGGCCTAGGAACTACTGTGACACCTATAGCTCTGCACCTTCTCCACCAGGATCCGGTCTGTCTCTTGCACGCTGGTATCAGGCACTTGCTTGTCCAAGTAACCGACAGGGTACAGCGAGTCTCCCTGGCCACCGCCCCGGTCACTTCGGCTCCTAAAGAACCAAACCAAGAAACATAAGGCTGCAGCCTCCCACACTTCATATCCCACGTTCCTGCTCTAATCATTGGAACAAAGATCCTCAGATCTTTATCTAATCTACCCAGATTAGACCAAGCCCTCTCGTGGGTTCGTCAGACTTTTGTCTATTGTGAGGAATGAAATAAGCATCTTTTGAACATGAGACACGTCCACCGTAGAGAAGCCGCCGGCTCCCCGGGAGCCCTCTTTGTGCCACCCATCATTTTCAGAGAGTTGTACCTGAGAGATCAGGGCCTATTCCTCCGCGGCAATTCTGGGGTGAAGACTCTTGTTACCGAGCTTCGCCCGGGCTCCTCACCTGCTGCCTCCTCCAGGCCCGCTCAGCTCAATGGCCCACTTGAAGCGCCGGCCTCGGTTGGCCACCAGGCTCCCCTGTGCCGTCATGGCCACGGCCGCCTACCAAGGCTGCGAAGCTCCTTACTCTGAAGCGGGGCCCGGACCCAGGCCCACGGGCACACGCTGCCTCTTGGTCCTACTCTGCAAGCCCGCTTCCGGCGGCGCGTAGCACAGACGTCACTTCCACCCCGGAAATTGGCGAGCGGAGGATGAGCCAGAGAGTACTTGGAGCTGGAGAAGCTGGGTGCAGCGAAAATCCGACCGTACTTCGCTTCCTCCTTTTTGGAGATTCCTGTTGGGTGTTCCCTGACCTCTGAGGTGCGCTTGCGGGACAGAGGGCAAGTCCATACTCGCTCTGGGTTAGGAATTGAAGCCAGGGACACCTTCTTGAGCTCCTGCGCGCCCCCCCTGAACACAAGATGCAAATCTCCTTTAAACCTGGTTTTACTACGGGTGGTGTGTGATCTTGAGCAAGTTATTTAGTAGCTTCCGAGTACAGAATGTCTGCCATGTCCCAGGAGCTTTGTGTTTATTATTTAAGTCACATTAATCCTGCGAGGTAAATAGTTCAGTGCCCATTCTGTCCCAAAACTAGGAAGCAGTGTGGACGTGGGAGGGCTCATGGGTTTGAGATTCAGATGGCCTCCTTTTGAATCGTGGCTTCTTTACTTAATTGTGTGACTTCGGACACGTTAAATATTTAGTGCTTCAGCCTCTTCATATGTAGAAGTTTATCCGTTTTCAAGGCTTGTGAGGTTAAATGGAGTGCCCGCCACCTATGCATGGTTTTTTTATTATTATTATTTTAAAAAGCATACTAGTGGGGCGCCTGGGTGGCTCAGTTGGTTAAGCCTCTGCCTTTCCGCATAGGTCTTGATCTGAGGTCCTGGGATGGGCTCCCTGCTCAGTGGGGAGTCTGCGGCTCCCTCTCCCTCTGCCCCTCCCCATCCCCCGCTCGTGTTCTGTCGCTCACGCACGCTCTCAAACAAACAAACAAATAAAATACTTTTTTAAAAAGGCACACTAGTGATCGGATTTTGTATTGAGTTGTGTATCTATATAATTATATAACGTGTTATTGGGTATTTGTTTCTCGTTTTTTCCTCCTTTTATAAAGTGTTTATAAACAGTATATCTTTTCTTATTTCCTTAAGTTAAATTCCTAGAAGTGCAGTTGCTGGATCAAAGCCTATGCACATTTTAAAGGAATTTTAAATGCCCGCTAGCAAAATCACACCTCTTTGCATTTCACCAGCATTTATAATACTTTTAAATTGGTGCTTTGAAAATAGTACTGTATTTTCAAACCCTTATTCCTTTGACCCCAAGTTATCTGATATGGTCGGGGGGGGGGGTGAGGGAAGAGGAGTGCTGTGAGAGTGTGGTTGGGAGGTAAGGTTGAAAAGGGCCAATTAAAGAGTTTGGACCCTTGAAGATGATGGTGATCTGGAGCTGCTGAAGTTTCCACCCCCACTTTGTTTCCTGATTTGAAAGATATTTTGTGTTCATAGCAGACTGTTTGAATAAGGCAGTAATGGAAAAGGCTTTTCCCCTTCCAGTTCATTCTAAAATGTTTATTTATCTGATCATAGGAAGACGGAAATTATGGATTGCTTTCCTGCTTCTTTCTACTTTTCTGCCTTTATCTGTTGTCTCTGATGAAACTTTGAGGTTGATCTCAGACTTCACAAGGGTCTTGACCCTATTGGTCAATCTTTGTCCCAGTGAAATCTGCAGTACTTAACCACATTGCGTTTGTGTTTGTTGATGTCCTCTGAGCACGTATCTACCTCCTCTCATTGCACTCTGCCCTAAATTCCTTGATGTTAGGAACTACATGTTAATTATATTTGATTCCACTGCCTAGAACATAATGTATTGAATGTTTAGTGAATGTGAGTAAATTAATTGAAAGTAAATATAATACAGAACTGAATATACTATAATTACATTTATGTGAAAAAATGTAAAAACTAGAAGAGAATACATTTTAGAATGTTATATGTTATATCCAATTAATGGTTTTCATGCCATTTTTTTGATGTTCAAGCTATTGTTCTGCTTCTTAAATAAATTGTAAAGGAACACTTTTGAAAAGGTTGTCAGTCATTCAAATCATATATTCCTTCCCTTTTAAAGTACTCCCCCACTGACTACAAAAATGTTTCAACCGTAACCCAAATCAAGGTTGCTTTGGCCTCAGGTTAGTGCAGGTCATTTTTCCTTTATCCTAGGAGTCCTCAGAGTGTTGTTTGCTAAAACATGTTCCAAAGAACATGAAGACGGAGGTGAAAATTGGAACTGAACTGAAGAAGGATTCCAAGGTCAAACACATTTGAGAAAAACTACAGATGCTCTTCTGCACACACACCTTAGAGATTCTCAGTGGGATTAGTATAACATTAAAACCATGAGAAATGATTCAATAAAGAACCTTCTTTAATTCTGCTTCCCATTCACGTAAATGAGAAGCTCCCCCCCCCCTTTTATTTTCCCTTATCACACCTATACATTTCCTATGGAGTCAGTGTTCCATAGAATACAATGAGGGCAACTTTCTTCCAAGCATGCTAGAATTTTTCAGGAGAAAGATGAAGGTAGTCCTTGAAAAGCTCTGCTTGGTTTTGTTTTTTTTTGTAAGATATTAGAATATCATAAGAAATAATAGATCCTTTATAAAAATGGAGTTTCAAGTTGAAATTAAACTCGAGGATTCAAGTTGTTTTTTTGTTTTTTACAAATTATGTTTTTCAAGAAAAATCAAGGTAAACCTAGATTCTAATCCTGACTCCAAATGAACTACCTGTATCACTTTGAGTTAGGAACTCTTGGCCTTAATTTCTTCATCTATAAAATAAGAGACTTCTACTAAATGACTTCTAAAGTTACCTTCTAATTCTAAAATATATTTTTAAAAACATTTTGCATATTACTCTTTCATATATATTCATAGAAAAAAATGATAAACACATAAAGGAGTAATGGGATTTCAGATAATTTTTTTTTTAATTGTGCTTTCCTGGGGCACCTGGGTGGCTCAGTCGTTAGGCGTCTGCCTTCAGCTCAGGTCATGATCCCAGGGTCCTGGGATCGAGCCCCGCATAAGGCTCCCTGCTCTGCGGGAAGCCTGCTTCTCCCTCTCCCACTCCCTCTGCTTCTGTTCCCTCTCTGGCTGTCTCTCTCTCTGTCAAATAAATAAAATCTTTTAAAAAAAAAATTGTGCTTTCCCATATTTTTCCTAGTTCTCTGCATTGTGCAGGGACCACTTTTGGATTTAGAAAAAGTATAAATGTTAGTAATATAACATGACGTGTTTCCAAACCTCAAAGCATAATTGTTCTCTGTCCTGGATTCACAGGAGAATTACCTTGGAAGCTCTTTAAAAATACTAATTGATAGCTGGGTCACACTCCAGAGATTCTAATTCATTTGCTTAGGATAGAACATGGGCATCTACTGTGCAGCAAGAACTAAGAACCACTGACCCAGAGTATTTTGCTGCTCTAAAAGGTTTGAACTTACACAAAGTAATCTTAGCAAACAATCTGCAGTTTGGGGCAGCCTCCTTGCATGCCTGCCACTGGACTAAACTTGAATTAGACAGTAATGGAAATACTCAACTTGTAAAAATAAATGTTAAACTTCCCTTTGTGCTTTTGAGCAAATATGATTTTAATTAAAGAAACTGAGAAGGCACACCATGATTCCATAGGTCATGTGAGTTGCCTCATCTGACTTTTATATTTGGGCCATCTACACAATTTTTGTCTTTGTTTTTGAATCTCACCCCCACCACTTCAGGGGTCTAAGAAGCTGACTATTTCTAATACTTCATGCCGTTTTCTGAGCAGTTGCATTTGGATTGAAACTTGAAAAAGGAAATTTTATTTATTTACTTTTTAAAAAAATTTAAGTAGGCTCTACGCCCAACGTGGGGCTCAAACTCACTATCCGGAGATCAATTTCCATTGCAAATCCCCAGTTATTTGTGTTATTTGATTCTAGTATCATCACTGCCTTCTGAAAAGGGCCACCTTACACTACTTTATTCAAGATGCAATTTGTTCTGTGTTAGTAAGAGTCTTAACGAGAGGAAACTTTTCCCCTCCATTTTGTCTGTTTGAAATTTCAAACCCCTTCAGTGAAAAAACAAGTTTGTGTCTTTTTTTTTTTTTAATAAGATATTACCTTCCAAGTTCTTGCTGGATTTCTGCATCATTTCTATGTGGATTACTTTTTAAAAAAACTTCTGGTTTATGGCTCTGCAGTGTCATGAAATGCCCCTGTCAGCAGTGACATGAACTAGACAGTGCTGGAAGAAAATGTTGGTTAGTAATACCATTCTTCCTTAGCAATTACCTTTTTTTCATTTCAGGAGAGCTGTTGTGCAATTCACATTTTAACAAGTTCCCATTATAGCACATCCCTCCAACACTTGCTTAGGAAACTGGGAGGATTGCCATTCCCACAGATCTTATTAAAGGATAAGAATGACAACCATAGCATGAGTCATAATGATACATTGCTGATGGCCTAGCATGTTTCTTCAAGCTTGGTTACTCTGGATTCATACTGATGATTAATTTCAGCTATCTTGGAAGTGAGCTAAACTATCTCTATATCAAGTATCTGAATGACCAATCCAGGTCCTTTATGGTACTTTTTCCTATGTGCTATTTTTTTATTTATTTTTTATTTTTTATTTTTTCAAGATTTTATTTATTTATTTGACAGAGAGAGACAGAGTGAGAGAGGGAACACAAGTAGGGGGAGGGGAGAGAGAGAAGCAGGCTTCCTGCAGAGCAGGGAGCCCGATGAGGGGCTCGATCCCAGGACCCTGGGATCATGACCTGAGCCGAAGGCAGAAGCTTAACGACTGAGCCACCCAGGCGCCCCTATGTGCTATTTTTTTAAAGATTTTATTTATTTATTCCAGAGAGAGAGAGAGAGCGCCAGCGAGTGGGGCAGGGCCTCGAGGAGCAGAGGGAGAGAGAGAAGGACAAGCAGACTCCACACCAAGCGC